GAGAGAGAGAGAGAGAACAGTGATCTTTACAAGAAGAACGATAACAAGATATTCCTTCTAAGGTGGAGATGGCGTGATAGTATGACTTGAAAGAACAATCTGAACAAGTACCGATATGAAGGATGATACAGTTGTTTGAGTACACTCACACAAAATAGACACTTAAACAAGAAACTAGCTCTGTTTTGCTTTTTAAACAATTACAATTTTTCGTATAACTTTACACACTCATATGTATAAAATCCAAACAAACTTTAGTATACATAAAATAGAAATGCATGTATCTTGTATGAAGGTAGAAAGTGTAAGTATGGCTGAGGTCATGTGCTCCACTTAAACTTTTTTTCTCCATAAAATGATGTAACCGTTCACTCAGTACACAATACAGCAAAACGCTCTTGTAAGAAAGGTTCACAACCGAACATTCACTTGTTTTTGCTCCAGCATTAATGCCCTTTGTACAAGTACATCAGATAAACATACAGTAACAATAAGCTAACAGACACGTCGCGATATCAGAACTATAAAATCATATCCGCTGAGTGTCTTGTTTTTAAAAAATAAATCTGAAGTCAAAAAGTTTGAATTTCACATCATGTCAAGATTTTTCGAATGCAATTCTTCGAATATCTGTATAGCGACTACGAAAAATCGTACGATTTTGATAGAGCAAATAGAGCATTTGAATTTGATTTCACAGTTTCAGTTACTCAAAATGGCCCCAAAAGTGTAATTCTGAGGTAGCGATTAGTAATATGTATATGCTAGCACCATTTCTTGAAACGGTGCTCATTTTATGACGTGCCACTCCTGCTGTACATAATAAGAGCAGCGCTGCTGATTGGTCAAAAGCACAGAAAGCAAAATTCTAAGTACATAAACAAATAAATATTATTTTATCATAACCGTCAAAGCAAACGACCATGAGTCTCGCGAGTGTTCCGGGAGTATTGAGCTTTTAAAAAATGGTGGCGTTTATTTCCACCCAACGTTGTCTTCTTTGTATTTCGTTTTCTTATATCATCTCCTGTAAGTTAAATACACGCCACGTTTCGCAGTTCTTTCAAGATAAATAATTCGTATGCCTTACTAGCCTCTAAAATAAAAACGCACCATTTTGTAGCAATTCTTTCTCCCATTAACAGTCTGTATTCTTTACTGATCGACAGTATAATATATGCCATTTATTACTCATTTCATTTGCATAACGACCGTCTGGTTCAGGCGCAAAGCCCAGCGTGAAAGTGTGGCAAAAATAATCATGCAAGGCTCTTTCTAGGTCGAGAATCAGTGAGAGTTCTAAAAACAAAAGAAGAATAAATAAGGAGCAATTGTTCAGGCGAGAATGGGGACGGACAATATTGAAGGGTACTATGGGGAAAAAAACAACAAGGGATGCCAGTTTTTTGACAATTTTAGTTGTGACTTGGGTTGGAAAGTCTTCCTTTGGCTCACCTTAGTGTCTAGGGCTATAACCTGATGAGCTAGAACATTTACGTTACTATTGAAAATGCCAAAAAGTGATTTTCCCTAGCGCCCTTCAATAAGATTGGTGCTATTAGTGAGTAGTGAACCATAGCCTTTCACAGCATAGGGGGAACACGCTATAGACTTCTTTGAAGACGAGATGAAGGATGCAGGGAAGCGCATTATAATAACATTGTCAACAGGCAAATACGAAAAACATACTAAAGGACTTCGATATCGGTTGGAATAATGGGACATACAAGATCTTATTGAAGATCCGTGATAAAAATTGTAAAGTAAAACGAATCTGGCACACCCTGAAGTATTACACTATATGCCCCTTTAGATATACAGAAAACACAGACACAGCAACAACAAAAATACAAAACCAAAAACAATTTTTTAAACCCTAAAGATACAATGCCCTCTCCAATAAACAACACATCAACAAAAACAACAACCCTACCAACTTCTTTGAGTCGTGCAAATAGCTGCCAGAGCAGAGTTTTTTCTTCACTTCTAACATTTCCCCTTTTATGTCTGCACCCTTTTTTCGCTGTTCCATTCTGCCAGACGGTCTGTTTCTCTCTCTCTCTCTCTCTCTCTCTCTCTCTCTCTCTCTCTCTCTCTCTCTCTCTCTTTGGCGTAAGTTACGAGTGACCATGGGGAAGTACTTTCTTATAATGCTATCCCTAATAATTGATGAAAGCCCATTACAAAGTTCCACTTCCAGAAACTTGACTCTTCTGGCATCACTCTCTTGTCGTGCGCCGAACGGGAACAATAGTTTGCAATTTCCATCATCAAAAAGAATCTTACGTAAAGCAACAGTCGTCTCCACCATAACGATGTGGACAACGATCATGCGTTACAAATTATTGATGTCATAAATCCATAAAGTTCTACCATAGTATTCTACAACAACTATCACAACTGAACACACAGGTTACCAAGAGTAACAATTAGAATTTGTCCGATGATGACAGAAAGGTATTTGTTTGCAGATTAATCTGGGTAAGTTGGAGAGCAGGAATGACAAGAGGATAGCATACCACGTCAGGTTTCACAAATTAGAAATGCAGAAGCCAAGAGGGAACGCCGCAAGGGGAAACCATGCTTTTGAAAAATGCTCAAAGGTTGGCAACATCTTCTCTGCCAGAATTGGTCTCATTGGCTTCAGCAGAATCCACAAGTTATCTTAAGTCTTATTTCTTCTTTTTATCTAAAAGGGATATTCTTCTTTGTAGACGGTGCCCGGAATAGAGTAACACTTTTCACGACAAAGATGATCACCACTGCCCACCAAAATTACAAAATCGCCTGTCTGTAGGTGATATCGCCCAGATCGACCAGCACGGCATTAGCGCAACTTTAAAAAATATGTTGTAAAAATCATAGTATCGAAATGTAGCAAACAGGATTCAGGGCGAACTTGTGGAATTCTTCTGAATTTAGTCAACATTGGGAATGGCGAAAATCTTAACAGTTGTAATGCGGTTGTCTGTTCATAGTGAAAAAAAAAGCTTACTTTCGAAACTGATCAGTCTGCCAGTAATCAACATGTTTACAGCCCTCACGTCTATGACGACCAAGTGTTCTGAATCAGAAACAGGATTTGTAAAACGTGAATATGATGAAATGTCTGGACTTTTCAACACTGTTTTTTAGCAGTTCGATAATACGAGATGGCTGGACCACCATATTCGTGTCCACATACACATAATGTCTTGACACGACTGGATTGTGTTTCATTACAAAATCAAAATAATACCCCCCTCCTTCCCTCCCCTCCCTTCCTTCGTTACGATTGATGATTATATTTATACTGTGGTGCATAGGTCACTATGCCGTCGGGATTATCCGGATCAACGACAACTTTGTTTGGGTCAAAGTATCCAGGCATCATGGAAGAAGGAGGAGGCAAGCTGTCGTTTGACCCATAAATAGACCAGCCAGCCGTGTCGGCAACGCTCAGATCTATAAACAGATCTACCAGCCCATCGTCTTCTTCCGGTTTAGAATCAACACTTGCGCCGGCTATCGCTTCTCCTCCGTTTTTCTTACTGTCTTCTATTGCCGCTTTGGATTTATCGTCAGTATTCTTACTGTCTTTTGTACTTCCTTGATCGAAGCTCATCTTCTTCCCAGATTTATTACTGTTGCCATTCTCGTCTTTGGAGTCAGCTTTCCCTTCCCCGTTTTTACTTTTATCTCCATCCTCCTTTTTGTCACCGTCCTTTCCGCCTTCTCCTTCATCCGTCTTTCCTTCTTCTTCCTCTTCGGTGGGTTCTTTGGGAATGTCCCTCTCTATCAGCAGATCGAGGACCGGCCAGAACTGCTTGTACTCCCCGATAATCTCATCGATCTGACCCTTGAAGCTGACTGTCTTCAGACTGAGTTTGGCACCCTTTGAAGACAGTACGTTCTTCAGCAACATGGGCACGAAACCGCCGGCTAATGTGGCCAACGTGGTGTTTGTTGATGACATCTGAGGATGGGAAATTATAAAACTACTTATTTCCTAGAAAGCAAGACAGATTATAGAAATGCATTCGTACGGACTGCAGTGGAGTTATTGAGCACACAGTGCTACACATTTTCATGAAACACACACGCGCGCACGCGCACACACACACACATACACACACACTCACACACACACACACACACACACACACACACACACACACACACAAACACACACACATAAACACACAAACACAGACTGACAGACAGACAGACAGACAGACAGACAGACAGACAGACAGACAGAAAGACAGACAGACAGACAGACAGACAGACAGACAGACAGACAGACAGGCAAACAGGCAGACAGACAGGCAGACAGACAGGCAGACAGACAGAGAAGCAGAGACAGAGACAAAGACAGAGAGAGAATGTATACAGAGCTGAGGTTTCAGCACGTGCTACACGTTTTTATGTCCTTCACAATTAGGTGTATGCTTTGAGAGTCAAGTTGAGAGCACCTGGCCTTTGTAACATCGCTGGTATTGTAAACGACCAAGGCAACAATGTTTCTCCCTGAGAGATGAATTTAAATTGTCATTGTGGGTGTCATAATATTAAAATCTCTTTGGCACAATTAACATATTCATGTTTTAAAGGGTTATGTAGTTCTTTCGTTAAGTTGAACTTGTTTGAGAATTTTCTAATCCTAGTTGATGCTATCAAGAAGAGATATTGACCAAAAATAATATAAATAAAGCAATTCCACAAGTGTTTTCAATTCAAAATACTTGCTCCCACCCAAACTTCTGTCTGGGTTTAAGGGAACACATAACTCGCAAAAACATGGCATTTATTACTATAAACCACTTGGAGATTAATAAGCTCGTCCTGTTCAGATACCCAGAGAATTTTAATTGTGTCTTTCCCTGACACACTGTTATGTTGGCGCTTCGGAAAAAGTAAACTAATGTATATTATTTGTATAGTGCAAATCGCGCGCAATAGGAAGCTCTATGAGCTTTATAATCTCTACTATAACCCAATTAGACCTGATAACATTCTGAAACAATCTCAACATCCTGGGGCGCATACAGTGCAAGCTGCCATTTTACAGGCGCTAAAACACTAAGATACAGACAAGATATTTTGCTGTCAATGGCTGGGTACCCCCATTCTCACCAGGGTGAAGTGAGCAAAATTTGTCCAAAGTGCCTTTCCCAAAGACACAACGTCGTTCCTGGGGATCGAACCCCCAACCTCACAAGTACCACTCCGGTTGCCTAACCACTTTAAAACACACAACACCTCACCAAGCCAGACCATCCATCTTGCAAGAGACAGAAAGTTCTTTCTCCACTCGACGAACAAGAGGTGAGGTACAAGAGGAAGAATAAAGTAAAATAAGTAAAGGAAGTAACATAACCACGAGACTACCGACGCCACAAAGTTGGTTCTCAGCTAAGAGCGGGCTTCACCTGGTAGACATTCCCGAAAGCCATGACCACAATCATGACAAACATGAGGAACACCACGATGATCATGAACTTGCCAGTAGCCGCCAGGAGATTGATGTAGACAGGACCCGGGGCGCCGTGAACTCTCACCTTTGGAAAACAAATGAGATATGACAGAATACTTCATTAAAACATAAAAACTTTGCTTTTCTTTCGGTGTCTCCGTCTCTGTCCAACTGTACGTCTGTCCGTCCGTCTGTCTGTCTGTCTGTCCTTTCTTTCTGTCTGTCTTGTCTTTCTCTCCCCCTCTCTTTCTTCTCCCCCCCCCCCACCCTTCCATCTCTCTCTCTCTCTCTCTCTCTCTCTCTCTCTCTCTCTCTCTCTCTCTCTCTCTCTCTCTCTATCTATCTATCTTCTCTCTCTCTCTCTCTCTCCATCTATCTATCTATCTATCTATCTCTTCCCCTCTCCATTTCCCTGTCCCTCTCCCTCTCCCTCTCGCAGCATAATTTCATGAGAACGAGACGGTGATCAAGGGAGGCAACTGAGTTTTCACTTAGTAAGACAAAGTAATAATCGTATGCTGCCCCTTGCAAAAAGGAGTTATCCCTGATCCACGACAACCAAACGACAAGATCTATTATTATTCTCACCCGCCCGGAAGTTCTCGCAAGATCAACTCCTCCCCTCTTCTCTCTCTCTCCGTCTCTTTCTGAATACTGTCTATCGGTGTGGACGATCAAATTGACCAAGACAAAGTTAAAAATGATGTCAAAACACAAAAGTAAATTAATTTGGTTGTCTACAAAGATGCTACGGCTATTTAACTTTTCGAATCGAGCCGAACTACGCGGGTCGCCATTTTGTTTTGCCCGGAAATTCTCGCGCTACTCCTCTCTCTCTCTTTCTCTCTCTCTCTCTCTCTCCACTGCCCACAGACAAAATTGTACGCTTTTAGTAGGCTACAATTGTAATGGAACGTTTGTTCACGGCACAGAATTCTACAATTTTTCTGTTATCACAGTGTAGAATTCTGTGGTTTAGGGTGAACGCAAAATTTGGTGAACGCGCACCGGGTGAGAATAGCCACAAGACTCGCCTGCACTATTCTCACTCCGGGTGAGAATAGAGGTGGCCTATTATAATACACAATAAACTGTATACCCAGACAACTTGCAGCTCTTCATTAAAGGAGCAAAAATGATTACATATGATATCAAATTGTGAATGTATGAATTTAACTTACTTGACACAGTTTCTGGAACAGTCTCAATGGGATCCTGGGCGTGTCGTAGCAATCTAGAAAGAGCAACAGTTGACCCAGTTTCCAGCGGATTTCCCTTTTGTCGAAGTTTAGAGTTGGGACCATCTCCTTTTCTTCGTCGACGGATTTCACCTTTGACAACAAAGAGCAGAAATCGTTATTACTATTGTTTGAAAATGGTCTTTAAAGATATTTTCTATAAACAGAAACATGAACTGTTTTATAAGCAAAAATTGCAGCAGCAGCAGCACTTGCACAAATGGAACCACAGCAAACTACTATACCAACGAAACAAGAAGAAGAAGAAGAACAACAACATCAATAACAACAATAATACTAATAATAACAACATAATGACAGCAGCAGCAAAAACAACTTAAAAACAACAGCAGCCACACCAACAATAATGAGAATAATTAGGATAGGCTTCACTACGACAACAGCACAAAAAATATAAACACATCATTTTATGAGCAGGTAAATATTATTTGTGAACCAGCGCGGTGGAATCAGGCTCTCGTCAAAATAATCAAAGTGAAGAAACTTGCATTGTTCCTCAGGTTTGTTAATTTTTATCAATTGGGGGGGGGGGGGGGGTCAACACATTTCACGCGTATTAAAGAACTCATTTAGGCGTGGGTTTTTCTGAAAAACGTTGATTAAAGGCACAAAACAATATAAATTTTCGGTTACTACAGACTCGTGACCTAAGGAAATAACGAATATTTTACAGCCATTTTCTCACTAATTTTACCTCTGAAAACAGGTGACCCCCACGTCCTTCTTTCGCAAATATCTCGACTTGTATTCAAGACAAATGGATTTTTTTTTCATCCCAATAAAGGCAAGTGAACAAGCTTCAAGATGATACCATTAACTGTACATGCCCAAAAATTGACGAGAGCCTGATTCCACCACGCTCCCTCACATTTGGCCTCTAGCATTTTGTTTGCTAGTAAACGTACTCGTAGGTATTGACGTTTTTGTTTCTCTTTATGTTGTCATGTAGCTCCAGCTTAGGAAGAATAGACTTCGTTCAAATATACTACAAAACTGTTTCTTGTTTCAAGGTTATAAAAATATCTTTAATAGTTCGTCTATGTCTGACAAAGACCCACACATCTAGAGGGAAACTTTTTTTTCTGGAGCAAAGTAGATGAAACAAGTTTTCAAAGAACTTGTGACTTATTTTATGGCCAATGATACCAATTTTGGCAGAGAAAATAAGCATCTGTTTCAGGTTAGCAAACTTAGCCAATGTCTAACATTTGGAGAAATCTATTCAAAGCTATGTAGCCGACCTCCATGAGGTGTTCATCGAAACAAAAACAGAACAGAGAGTTGCTTTTGTTGTTTGTTTGTTTTTTGTGACATTCTTTAAAATGGACCTTTTCATTGTGTATTTCAGTGTTTGCCGGAGATGGGAGGCGAGCGTGTTAACTTCTTCACTGCTGTGTAGACGTATGGACTCGTTTGTGTTTTCCTTTTTTTTCCCCGTGTCCTGATTTTGGTGCCCGTTTTTGTTGGTTACGTAAAAAGAAAGTAATGGTGCAGATTGTTATATGAAAGGGGAATTGTTGAGTCGGTGATGATGATGATGATGATAATGATCGTTTGACTTTCCAAAAATGGTTCTCTGCCATTTTTATTTACTAATTTATTACGGGAAGTTATAGAAGATGTAAAACGACTTTTTCTGTTGTGCGTTCTTAAATAATTGGAGATATTATAACTTTTTTTACATATCTCTTGAATCTACATTTCATCTTGTCTGTACAAACCTAGGTGGAAAAGCCTCAGCAGTGAAGGGGTTAAATGGGGATTACAAACAATAAAATCAGGGACCATGTCCTTCTGTCAATCTTATGTGTGTGTGCGCGTGTATGTGTGTGTCTGTTTGTGTTTTTGTGTTGTTGTTCGTGTTGTTGTTGTTGCTGTTGTTGTTGTTGTTGTTGTTATTGTTGTTGTTGTTGTTGTTGTTGCTGTTGTTTTTGTTTGTTTTTTTAGTAGATCCATACAAAGTGGGTAACCAGTTTTACTCGTGTTTTGGTCAAATTCACAGAGAAAAGTTTCATTTTCTTTATTTATCGCTCAAAAAGAAAAACAATTAAATAACTTAATTCACAGCAACAAGTCCAGATTGGCTAAATCACAATCTGTGAGGCAGTGTGGTGGAATCAGGCGCTCGTCAAATTTTGGGCATATTGAGTAATTGGTATCATCTGAAAGCTTGTTCATTTGTTTTTCTTTCAATGAAAAAAATTCCCATCCATATTTAATAGAAGTGGAGATATTTTGGATTGAAGGAGGTGGGGGTCACCTGATTTAAGAGGTAAAATTAGCGAGAAAATGGCCGCCAAAGCTTGGTAAATTCCAAAGATGGAGAGTCCATGGAACTTGTAAATTTATATTTTTGCGCCTTTAATCAACTATCTCGGTGAAATCCTCAAAAGAATGTGTTTGTAAATGGACATAAAAGGTGTTGAGCCAAAAAACAAAAATTTGATAAAAATTGCTAAGCAGGGAGAAAACTGCTGTTTTCTTCGATTTCATTATTTTGACGAGAGCCTGATTCCACCACGCTGCCTCACATTTATCCTTCACCGCTATAATAATTGTGATTTCTGTAGGAAGGAAGAGTGCGTGCGTATGATCCAAAAGCTGATTGTTGTAGTTACCTGAAATGCTGTGTTTTCCTGTTGACTAGATGGCATACTGGCAATTTTTCTGAGGTCGGCGGTGATTCTGTCAATCATGTCGTCGATGATTGTTTTGTTGAATGTCAGATAGTTCTCGTACACGTTGCTATAGCAATCGTTCATGTAAACAAACACAAGGAGAACCATGGACACATATTTGAGGACACTTCCGGCGTTTACGATAATGCCCATCATCGTGAAAGCCATCACCTGAGGAAAAGCATCAAACGATAATCTAAACTGTAATCTAAAAAATACAATGCATTTAATAGGAATATTTAAATATAAGTTTAGTTTAATATATTAAACAGGGCAGGCAAACTCTAAAACAGAGTTCAAAAAGATTTCGGAAACATCTCTTACTCCTGATAATAGCACTTTAGAAGAGTGGAGTTTTGACCACTGCTTTCCGACTGGACAAGTGACCCTTGATCCCACGGGCTGGGCGTCTTGAAACCCTATCTCCCTTTCCTTAAATTCCCCTGTCCGAAACGGAAATTGTCTGAGGCAGAATTTTTCTCTGGTGTTCTTACGATTTCGTCTTAGATATGTTAGACGGAAAAGAAAGGGCACAGGAAAGATGCACGCAATGTCAGACAGACAGACAGACAGACAGACAGACAGACAGACAGACAGACAGACAGACAGACAGACAGACAGACAGACAGACAGACAGACAGACAGACAGACAGACAGACAGACAGGCTAGCTTGTAAAACATTTGAGTAGCTGAATGTTTCTATAACAAATATTAATGGGGGGGGGGGGGGACAATAACCTGGCCAACAAATACGACAGTCTACCAGTAGTAGTGCGTAGCGCACGTAAAGTCACTGCTTAGATTGCCAACCAGCACAAAAACCCATCAAAGTCACGTATGCAAACAGGTGGACACCCGATTGTTTGCTAAGAGCGAAAAGTAAATATGTTCACTCCGACTGATCTAGTGTACTGAGACTTAAGCTTAACTACTCCACTACGGTACCGGTACCACTTCAAACAAAACCAGTATTTCCTTAGTTCTTTTTTGTATACCTACTTAACTCTTCATCTTTTATTGTTAACTGCTCATAGTTTCCCTCGTTCCATGTTTTCCTCAACTTGACCCTCCTACTCTTGCCATTTCTTCTCCCTCTTCCCCTCTTCCTCCTCTTTAACATCATCATCGTCATCATCATCATCATCATCATCATCATCATCATCATCATCATCATCATCATCACAAGCATCATGATTGTTGAAAATTAAAGAAATAGGACGGTCGAGTACTCTAGTAAAGATGCGTGCTCAAGCATTAAAAAAGAAGAAAAATTGGAAAGAGATATAACCATGAAATTAGACACGGTGCAGCACATAAGCTGATGGTGACAATGGGAAACAATGGGGGAAGGGTGATAGAGTGAGCATTTAGTCGGTTACCATGTGTGGCTGTGTGTGTGTGTATGTGTGTGTGTGTGTGTGTGTGTGTGTGTGTGTGTATTTGTGTGTGTGTAAGTGTATATTGGAGGGAGGGGGTCGTTTATCCTGTTCTTTTTAAATTATTATTGGGACAGGGGAGGATGAATAAGGGGGAAAGGGGGGGGGGACGCTAGGTGACCTTCAAGAAGCAAATTTTTAATTCTGTAAAGAAGTGCATCAACTTTAGATCAGCAAGGGGGGGGGGGATTTTTATGCCCTGGGTGGCATGTCTGAAGTACTGACCTGGCTAGAAAATGGTGAAATGGTAACGTTTAATGCCCCTATCAACACTATAAGATAAGTTAAGAGGCAGGACCTCCGAGCTTAACGTCTATCTCCGAACGGACGGAACCAAATGGAAATTTAGAGAAAAGTTCCTTTCCCCAGGACACAATGTCGGATCGAGCTGAGGCTCGAATCCCCGAACCCGCACTTTCACGATTCCGGGTCCGGTAGATTATCCACTAGGCCGCCGACGCCACTGCCATGACTAGAGCTGTACAAAGGTTGGCCAAAGGTTGTAGACTACCTACTTTTTTCTCTACAAAGAGAGTGGTGATTTGATCCTCGCGTTAGGCAACAAACGTTTATAAAATAATGTAAATACTTTACTTAAGTCTTAGTATACGTTTATGGCATTTACATCCAAATGTTACGGTTTGTAAACACATCATTTTCAGTGCTGTCAGTTGACTTAAGAGGGGAGAACTGTGGTGAAATGTTTACCGTTTCTCTCTCATATGAAAAGCATTGAAAACTACACAAACAATTTGCAATATCCACCTGGCATTGAAACGAAAGTAACAAACCTCGCTGTTAATTAAGCACGTTATAATTAGAGTTTTACTGCTTTGACTTAGAAGAGTTAAAAAGCAAACCTACCTCCACAAAAAGGCCAACAGACTCCGCAGTCACTAGAGCTATGGAGTAGAGAATACACAGACAGAACCCAGCACACGCCACCTGGATCAAGATGCTCTTCACCGTGGCGCAGCCGCCCCACCCCCACTCATCGGGACAACAGCTATCTCCAGGATCCACGCTCAGAGAGTGGTGAGCGTACTTATCCATACGCGAAATCTTTTTCCCCAGCTTGTAAACTCTTTTGAGCTTGCGCTTTTTCTCAGCGTCCACTTCTTCCGAATTCCCCACAAGTTTTTTGGCGTGGTACGGAAGTCTGAAGGAAAGATACACCGTAGGAATACAGTACACGGCGAACACTATAATACACAGAGGGAGCATTCCCAAGAGGTAAAATCCCCCGATGAGAAAGCCCAAAAGACCGAATCTTTTGAAAGGGTAGAGAAGGAGTTTGATGATGATGCCCAACACTCCTGTCTGTGACACTGAGCTCATATCCGCCAGCGCAGAGCGAGCTACGTCTTTGAGCCTCTCTCTGAAAGCGTGATCCGCGAAGCCGATGACGAGACCGGAGAGGAAGTAGAAGATGTAAGTGGCGATGAAGACGCCATGGATGGGCGTGAAGTACTGGATGACGTTGCTGCGGTAGAAGCTGTAGGTCTCTTTAAGGCGATGGTCGGTGATGGCTTGACGGCGTTCTACGATCTCCTTCTCCTCGAACATAAAGTACACAAACAGACGGCCGTAGTAAGGGATGGGCACCAGCAGAAGGAGAAGGCACTTGACCAGCACCTGGGAACAAACAAGTCAAGCCATATGAATAATACAAAGAAATTCCACTTGATTGCTGTCCATCGAGAAATCTAAAATATCAGGGCATACACACGTAGTACATAAGTACCTAGATACATAACACACAATTAAACACACAAATATACATACCAATTAAATATTGTCGGAATTTTTCAAATACACGTTACAACGCAAATTCAGACCACTTTCTTTGCGGAAGAAATGACATTCGCAACAGTTCTTAAATGACCCAAAAAAAGACTTGAAGATTTGTAGTAAACAACTATATTTTAATGAAGTACAAAAAAAGATCTGATCTCTTCAATTACTACACACATACAGCTAAACCTGCTATAACAGCCACATGTCCAAGTCAGTCACGTGTACAGACATCCACTCTCCACCCCTTCCTTCCACTTTGTGATTTTCATAAACATTCCAATGACACAGTTCGAGACATCCACTTGTTTAAGACAACCTGTTTTCTCCTCGAAAATGGGTGGCCGTCTTGGGCAATTTCCACTATGTGAGACATACCTGTACAAACGTGTGCCACGTGATTTTGTGCCTGAAGTTGGCCTCCATGTCTGAGTAGATGCTGGTCTCGCAGCATTCTTTGAAGGGATCCAGGTTTTTTATCTTACACCTGATCAGATTGTCGTAGAAGGTTCTCATAAGGCCGGTGGGCGGCTCATTCTCGGGGATAATTCGTTTACCTTTCACCTAGAGATGCAGTACAACAGAAGAAAGCCATATATAGTTTTTGAATAAGTTTCAACAATTTCTAGATGTACATTTCAAAGTGAAAGAGAGCAGAAATATTGTACGTTGATTCTTTTTTTTTTTGACAGAATGAAGCAGCAGTTTATTTGTACCTTTTGGACTAAGAAATCAGGCTGAAATTTTTGTATTGAAGAGCCATATCGTTCGCAATATTCTACCTGTGTTTCAGCAGCGAGTACAATGGGCTTGGAATTCCTAAGTTAATCAGCATGCTTATCTCAAATTAGATAAGCTACATATTTTACTCATTCACTTTTTTAATCAGCAATACGAGTAGTTACAGGGAACAATTTTATGTGTGTTTGTGCAATGGGTAAGAGAGGGATAAAGGAGAGACAGAGTATGAGGGAGAGAGAGTGAGGGAGAGTGAGGGAGAGAGAGTGAGGGAGAGAAAGAAAGAAAGAGAGAGGAGAAAGAGAGCGGAGAAAGAGAGGGGGAGGGGGCGAAACAGCGAGAGAGATAGTTAAAACACGTAATCGCTATAGCACGATATTATTTGCATAGCGTACACATTACAAAGCCTACCTTTATTCGCAGCTCTGTCATTTTTATGGGTATAATTTCATCAAAGGGCAACTGGTCAAGCTGTTCGCGGAATCGCCACCACTCGGACACGTCTTCCAGGGTGAGTCGGGATTTGAACCGAACGTTCGTGTCCGTCTGAGCACACACAGACAAAGAGATTCATTAATAGTTTTCGTTTTAGTAAGAGTTTTAAGGAAATTGCAACACGATAAGGTCATATAAGTATCAAAGATTACAGGAGTTATAAAAGAATAACAAACATAAAAAGCAGGAGAGATCAGGACGACAGATGTTTGTAGGAAAGAAGGAGCAAACCACACTTGAGCATCCGCCAACCCCCCGCTGAGAGTCATTGTTAGAGGCTGTACTGTTTAATTGAAATGGTTGTATGATTATCTGTTTCACGCCTCGCCTGTCGGAATTTGAACCGAGCATTCGTGTCCATCTGAGCAGAATCAGGTATTGTTAAAGGCTGTTTGATTGCAATTATTGTATGAATTTTTAGTGATTTACACCTCCCTCACCCTTTTCATGTGACTTAATTTAGATCAGTGCTTGCCAACCTAGGCGGTATCGCTACAATGTGCTATCTGGCATTTTTGGCCGTTTTGATTTACTTCAAACCATGGGTTCAGAAACCAATCTATCTGCTCTAGATCAAAATGGTAAGTTTATTCGGGGTCGTGATTAAGTTATTTAAAGAAATACATTTGAAAAATGCTTGACATATCGTGAAAATCCATTTTCTCAAAATTAGGTAATGACCAGATAAAATGTTGTAATTCTAAGGTAGCGTAATAGGTGATTTGGTAATTATGTTGAGCGGTGGTGATGACGCGGGTTGTAATTGGTACTATTAAATGCTCCGTTAAGCAATATATGAGGTGGGCTGCAAGAATATTTTAGGCTTTTAGGGGTGGCACTGGCTGTAAAAAAAGGGGTTCGTAAGCACTGATTTAAGTTAATAGGAAATGGGCTACTTCGTTACTGTATATCAAAACAACTCTGGGTGAATAGAAGGAAGGGGGCTCTCGTGGCCTAGAGGTTAAGGTGTTGGCCTCTCATTCAAAGGTCCCGGGTTCGAATCCGGGTAGCAACCGAAACATTTTGTTCTCTAAAATTGTCTCCTTTCACCTCCTTTCCAGCTCTCTAGCAATGCTCTGTTGTCTGCTTTCGTTTCCACTTTCTGCCCCCACTCCCTCACCTCCTTTGCCCCCTCCTCTGGGCTCCTGACTCTTTTTGCAGCCTTTCTACAGCTACCCCTTGGCTCATCCTAACTTCTGTCTTTCTGCCACACCCCTGATCTTCTGGTAGGAAAGATCTACACCTAGCCTTCTCGGACAAGGGCGAAAAATCTCGGAGAGCCCGAGTGCAAGTTGCGCATGTTAAAGATCCCTTGGTAGTCTAAAATCGATAAGAGTAGGCTTCGGCCGCCACCCGGGCAAAATTCAAAATTTCCTACCAACTGAAAATATTAGGCGTGTCCCCGCGCTCATATGACCTTATGCAATTGCGAGCGCCGTAAAACACTTTACAAAACAAAAGAATAGGAGGAAGCATCCCAGTAAACAGCTGATGAACTGTAAATTTCGGTAACTGGTTCAGAATAATATTATTATTATTATATTTGTCCCGTTTCCTCCCGATGAATTAACTTCCCAATTTGGGAGATGAACTAATTTCCCCTGCGTGCAGTGGGGTAAAGGCCTAATCACTGCACTTCAATCGCCGATTTTGGGTTGTGTACATAGCCGAGGTCGGAAACTATGCAAATGAATGTTATTGTTTTGTCACTATTTGAGTTGTAGACTACTGCGTTGACTCAGCAGTAAGTGTAGCATACTGACTGAAAAGGGGTGGGGGGAGGGGGGGAGGTTAGAGTACCCAAGGCAAACAGACAGAAAGTGAAGTATACATGTGTCAGAGAGGGTCTACTTTTGGTGCACGCGATTAAGTATCTACTTCATTTTTTATGTAGGTGCCTTCCCCCCCCCCCCTCTAAATCGATACATTTTAGATCAGTTAGAAGGTAGGGTTCGAACCTGTCTGCCAGGGAAACTCCGTCCAAGCAAATATACCAAGATACTCGATAAAAAGTATCCCCAGACGGGAAACGAACTCGGGTCTTTTGTGTGAAACGATGAAGCACCTATAGGCGCTACACTACAGGCGAGGTCTGATGTCTATGAACAACACTCTGAAACAAGACAGACACTGGCCAGAACGGTAATAGAGTGGCTTCGTTACCATCAATATTTACTGACATAACAAACAAAGTTATAGTAATTTTATGATAATCGCATTCATATGGTGCATATCCAATCTCAACAATATGTTCCATGTGTATTACAATTATCATTACCCCCAGCAACCTCTGCAACACTTAGAAACATTCTTGGTTTCCTGAGAAGTATGTAGTGCAAGCTGCCATTTTACATACTCTAAAAACCCTAGCATTTTGACAAGCCCTTTCACTGCCAATAGCCAGATACCCATTTACACTTAGGTGAAGTGAAGAAAATTCGTGTAAGGTACATTTCCCAACGACACAACGTCTGTCCTAGCTGAGCCTCTAACTCCCGAACCTGCAACCTCACGATTACGAGTCCGGACTGTTAACCACTAGACAAGCGACGCCATCGTGTGCAGTAAGGTACAAAAAACACTGTTTGTCTACCTTTTAATAGCCAACGCCGACTTTTGTCACCTTTAAAAGGCAACGCCCACCTGCATAAATTTTTCAAGCGTAGGCATTAAAATATATTATGTCAATACCCTGATGATCGCCACTGCCCAATAAATTTACCAGATCAAGTTCTGGTGGGGGATATCACCCAGGTTGACAAAAATTGGCCAAGAAAAAAAAAACAATAACAATAAATGAAAGTACACAAAGCAAAAACAAAAAATTAAAATATCAAAAATAAAACTCAATACAGACGAGTGAAAAACAAAACTGACAGTCAGACGTAAGAATCAACATCGCCAGTTTCCCCTCGGAAGTGGCCAGCAACCAAGTGATGAAGTCTCCTCCTCCACTTCTCAACACTTCTACATGGATGGCTGATGCCTCTATCAATAAATTATTGATGGTCAGGTCTCACCTGTTCTGTGATAAACATTTTCATTTTGAGCTCCTGCTTGAGAGTAATGACGTACTCCGAGGCGACGTAGGACGCATTGTAGATGTTATTGGGGAGAAACTTTGGGCAGAACAGAAAGACAAGGACCTGAAAAATATATCAACGAAACGGCTATTTAGTTTTAGCAAAAGTTTTACGGCACTAGCAACACAATAACGTCATAAAAGTGCCGAAGATTGAAGGTGTTACAAGAGAGTAACATACACAAAAATAGAGGAGGGATAAGGACGATAGACGTTTGAAAGGGAAAATGGAGCAAACCACACCAGAGCAACCGCCAACCACCCGCAAAACGGCTGTGAGGGAAAGAAACTTTTGGAAAATAAAAGTATGATTAATTAGACTGGGTTTAATAATGTCTAAGCTTGATACTTTGTTAATAGCATTAATGAAAAACAGCTCAAGTTTAATACTAAAAAAGATCGTTGCTACAATAATATTTATAGGCTCTTGTGGGCGTTGTGTTTTTTGTCGATGTGTTGATTTCATCAAGAAGTCAGTGAATCTCAGTACTCCATTTTCAATGTTATTTCTTTGTTGGTTCAGTTAGTCTGATCATAAGTAATATGACGGGGAAAAAAGTGGTGCACAAAATTCTGAATGTTTCAACAAAATGATAAGACTCAACACAATGATGGTAATGTGTTTTGCAAAAGCATGTATTTGAAAGTAATTTGTATTGACCCCTTAAGGTAGTAAGGACAATGTATATAACGTGCCTTTACAGACGTCAAAGCATTTTGACCATATCTGGATTCGAACCCGCTATCTCACCGTTAAGAGTCTAACAGCCATACCACTACGCTAACCTAATTAACGGTGATTTCTAAAATCATACAAAGAAAGACTGGTGAGATCAAAGAAACGTGGGAAAGTTAATTACGCAATAGCCATGGCTTCCTAAAGAAGGTGGATCGATTGGTGAAGATGACGTGTTATTGACGCTTAAGACTTCTAGAGGAAAGGAGCTTAGGTTAATTAATATTCACTTATTTATGGAGGCACGATTTGGTAATGTTGGGGTGCTAGTCAGGGAAGATCATCACGCACGGTGGGGAAGCATGCGGGGCTGTTACTGACCAACTGTATAAAGACACAGCATTGGGTTAGTTATGGCGGAAGCAACAGCGCAAGCATGGCCCTGGAATTAAAAAAAGGTTTGAATAATAATACTCTTTGACAAGGAAGATAATGTAGGTGCAGTTGTATTTACTGTGTAGACAACTATGATATATTTATGTCTGAAGGGGGGGAGACAGACAGACAGACAGACAAACAGACAGACAGATAAACAAGCACACAAACAGACAATCAATCAGATGGACAGACGGACTAACGGAGAGACACATAGACCGACAGTCAGGCAGACTGTCTGAGCAGGGGAGTGAGAAAATGAAAGAGAGGGAGAAAATGAGAGTGAGAGAGAGAGAGAGAGAGAGAGAGAGAGAGAGAGAGAGAGAGAGAGAAAGGGAGAGAGGGAAAAAAACTAGAAATGAGAACAAACCTTGACGAGAGTTATGGACAGATACAGAATGTTGATCCAGAAATCATCACCCCTTGTGGAACACTCCACCTGTCCCTCGGCATTCTTGAAGCAGCAGTTGTAGACAAACTCGGCATAACCGTTCGTGTCCAGGATCTCTTGGTTACAAGCAAACTCTTCTCTGATTGAAAAAAAGCAATGGAATTATGAAGTTTTACACCCCCATCCTAATAGAATATCCGAACTTTGGAGAGCCCGGATGAAAATATTTAAAAAGCACTATTTTTTTTTTAAACGTGTTAAACATCATTGATACCAACCGATTTTTTTGTTTGTCTTCGAAAGACAAGTGGTTTTTACTCGAAGACGTATTTTAAACATGTACTTTCCTGTTTTAAAAACTGAATTGTCAGTCACTAAGTATTTTGAAATACTTCAAACAATGTGACTTGCAAAGTAAAACCAAAGTTAAACCTAACCGTGCTGTGAACTGACGTGATCAACGTGTGCCCCGCTCACTAAATTGTGTCAATTGCAAGCGCCGTAAAACTTTTACCAAAAATAAAATAATATTAGAAGAAAAAAAACGCCATAGTGTATCATGCTCGAGCCCAGCTATGGGTTTTTTTTTCATTTTCTCGATCCAGTCTTAATGTTACTTAGACACTTCATTTTTCTGACCACTTCAATCCATACATGGCACAACACAAAGAGATGTCGGCACTCTCTTACTGGATATCTAATTATAACCTTTGAGGCTACTCATTAGATCTTGCATCATAATTCATAATATTGAGCACTTTAAAGTGTTTCTCTTCTAAGAATGATTCTGCATGAGTTCATCCTAAGCTTTTATATGCTGGCATTGACTCTTTAAGGACGAAGCGGAGGTATGTGTCTGACCAGTAATCAGTAACAGAGCAGAGGCGACGTTATGGCACATTTCGACCCATCATACACAAACCAAATACGTCAATTTGCATATTTCACAGCATGCATACATTATGGCCTGCCTCATTAAAGTTTCAGGCAAAGAAAACAGAATGGAAAAATCTGCAAGAAAAACGAAGTTGTGCCTTTATATTTTTAAAGTATATCCATGTATTATGTACTCCGAAACAGTGCGTCTTCAATGAGTTAAACTGTACCTGGCTGACTTCCCATAGGCGGAGCTTTGTCCAACCAAAGAACGACTCAGGAGCATCTTCCGGATGTGCTGCACCTGCTGGTCTGTGGTCAGCTCACCTGTAAACAGGCAAAAACAAGTAATAATATGTTTGGGGTTTCATTTGGTGAAAATGGGGAAATGGTATATGTTTAACGCCCCTATCAACACTATTAGTTATTTAAGGGGCGGATCTCCTAGTTTAACGTCCGTCTCCGATAGGACCGAACCAAGAGGGAAGTTCGTGCAAGGTGCCTTTCCGAAGGACACTACGTAGGACCGAGCTGAGGCTCGAACCTCCGAACTCGCAACCTCACGCTTTCTTTTGGAACTCATAAAACTCTACTTAAAACTAATAAATGAGTTATAACTGTACTCCGCACATGTTGTACTCAGTCATAGAATAGATAATCCTATCGGAGATTACGTTGAATTTGGAGGTGTTGAATTGGGTCGTTAGCCTACTTATTGACAGAATACTAATAGAATAGATCTTGTTAATGAGGAGAAATTGTACCATAATTGTGCAAGTAGAGTATAATGACAATATATCCACAACTCAGTATTGATTATTGTCATCCTTCAAATTTCTTGGAAAGCTTGATTGTTCTACTCTAGCGTATTCATTGTCAGTCGGAAGAATTTCTAATAAACCAAATGATAGAAAAAATACTGTAGGAATATTTCCCCTGGTATAACCTGTGTTTGTGTGCGTATATATATAATATGTGTGTGTGTGTGTGTGTGTGTGTGTGTGTGTGTGTGTGTGTGTGTGTGCGTGCGTGCGTGTGTGTATGAGTAGGGGGAGTGTGTGTGAGGGGGGGGGGGGGCTCAAGTAAACTAACAAATGTACCCAGGTTCAAGAATGCCTTTATTTGGAGTTGAACCAGGACAGCTTAAACCGCTGTTTAGTCAAGATATCGAAGTGACAAAAAGTCCACCCATAGACGACAACACACTGCAAACATCATGAATGTATAATTATCAGCAGACTGTTGTCTCTGTCACACTGGCCCATATTACCGTATTTGAAATTGCGTAATAAATACCGTCCTAATCCCTCACCCACACGTACTGGCATCTTGTCAGGCACGGGGGCGTTCGTTCTTATCTCCTCACTGACAAGTGCTAACTACACCGTGCATAAATCATCGAGAGGGGGAGATTGGGCACTCCTTATCTCTCTGTCTCTACATACAATGTTCGTTCAACAAAAACCTGTTGGGATCCTTCGTTTCTGTAGTAGACAGTTTATTCAAACAGCTTGAAACGGTAAAGTCTTGTTTGTCGTGACTCAATCGACAAGTTCTTCGAATATCATGGGGGCGATGATTGATGGTTTCAGAAGTGTGTCATGGATTTGGAACCAAAGTCCAAAAGTCTCTAACAACCCATACTTCCCTACCTTAAAATTACAAAGTTCTGTCTGACGTTTTGAGCCGGTTTGATTTACTAAGACCTTGAGGTCAGGCACTAAATGTTCTATCTGCTCTATCCAAATCGTAAGAATATTTGGAGTCGCTATCAAGATATTCAAAGAAATGTATTTAAAAAAGCTTGACATGTGAACGGCAAATTCCTCTACACTAGGTACTGAGCAGATACAACTTTGTAACTCTGGGGTAGCGACTTTGTCTTCGATCCCGCTTTCATTGTTCATTTTGCGCTAGTCTTATAGTCTTATGTCGTCTATTGTTTTCTTGTTGTATGTAATGCTGAAAGTGTCCGAACGCCAGGAAATGTAAAAGTATAATGACATTTCACCACTGCAAACTGCAAAGATATGCTACAAGATCTTTTCTGCAATATGTATTTGTCAATATATCTATCATTTGTGACTATCTCATTAATTTTTGTTTTTCTACCCAACCCCCCCCCCCTCCCTTCCCCCGCTCTAACTAAACCCAAGAAGACTAGATCAGAAATGCCATCTTAATGATTCATACTAATAAATGATAGCGTGGCATTTCTCAGCTTAATTCCCGGGAATTTCGAAACTAATGAAAACAGCGATAAACCACAAAATAAAGAAGCGAAGGATTATAACTGAGAAAACTGAGTTTATAAAAATCCTCCTTATCAATACCTGCGCTCGCATAAAACATGTCTAAATTACATGGCTGCGACTATAGTGTTAATACTTTGCAAACTACATTGTTCTTGTCATGTCACAAATGTAATTTTACAACTACGATTACAGTTCGTTTCATTTTAATTTTGCAGCCCCTCCCTTTTCGAAAGCGCTCACGTACACGTTCATTCTTTTGTTCAATACCCTAATAAAACGTATCCTACGCGTCGTGTTTTGTTAAGTGTGACGGACGCACTTAAGGAAGAAGAAAACGATCTACACGCCATGTAAACGTAGCAAAATATGTCCCCTTTTTTACCTACAAAAACATAAAACACAATTGCATCACAGGACAGCATCCCCTCCCCTCCCCCCCTTTTCCCCTCTTGCTTTCCCTTTTTCTATCAGGAATGCTTGAAAAATATGTATGAACCATCGGGTTCGTCGTTCGATAAATAAAACAAAAATAACCGTAAGACACAATTTATATTTACTTTTGTCAGTAGCGGATTTCATATAATACAAAACGTCTCCAGGCCTATAGGATGAGCCTAGCCCGTGTTACACAACGCCCCCTGGTCTCTCAGACACAAGAAACCCTTATCGCTATGACGGACGAGAGTCGACACCCTCCGTCTTTCCCCCTTGCATAAGCCATGCACAAGCTGGGCCTAACCAAGTGCTAATTTGAATCCGTTTACAAGCTCCCCGGGCAAACATCCGCGATATCTACACACTGCAAGCCGCTCAAGAGGTATGCAAACCGCCTTGTTATTTTAAACTCCCCACCACCAGGAACTGAAACTGGTACGAGGCATACCACGGTTCTCGAGCTCAGTTCTGCCTCCACACTGCCTGTGGTCAGCCAGTCCAGATTCTTTTGCAATATTTCAAACGCCATGCCTGTTGGTCTTCCCACGAGCCGTCCTGTGTCTGGTTTGGAGTCCGTGGAACACACTTCACACAGATATCAGATCAACATAAATCAAATGTCCGCCTCTTATATTCGCTTCTCTAGAGTTCGCCGATCTTCTCAAGCAATTGAGATATCAAAGGAATATCGAGAATTAGGACTCTCCGGGAAGAAGATAGCATGAAGTGTCCGTTTTACAGGGACTTTGTTTCAGAGCGGCCAAAGTGAATCACTGAGCGGCATAATAATGTATTATGCTTTCACTACAGGGTCACATCACTGAGGCAAGGGCGAACAAACTATCGTGTCTCAAGTAACAATTTTGAACTTTTAAAAGCTACATGTCAAGTCGTGAAAGTGCACAGCTTGCAGGCTTCTCCCTTGGGTTCAGTATCACATACACTAGTGAGCTCAGATACTTTACAAATACTTGAGAGGAAAAATACAGAGAAGACCATATTACACATTCTCATAAAGAGATTTCTGTCTCAATGACAAGCACAAAAAGCATCGAAGCGCACTGACATAATTGTGGCATCGGTGGCCAAGTTATAGGCTCTTGGACATCCAACAGTAAGGTTGTTCGTTCGAATCCCGTCATGGACTCGACGTTGTATCATTGAGAAAAACATTTAGCACGAATTTTTGTTCACTTGACCTAGCTGGGAACGGGTGCCCGGCTATTGGCAACGAAAGTTCTTGTTAGTTTGACAGTGTTTGAGCGCGTGCCTAATGCAGCTTACACCGTATGCTTCCCGGGAAGCCGAGAAAGTTTTTTTTGAATTCTTGGGTCAGTTGGGGTAAAAATGGTTGTAAAGCGTATAGAGCATGTTGTAGAGAGTGGATATACGCTATTTAAATGTCATTATTATTATTATTATTGTTATTATTAT